TGCTGCTATTATTATTTTGGAAAATCAAGATTAAACTTATTTTTTGTCAGATCAGCAAAAAATACTCTTTTTCTGGTGTGCCAGGAGAGGAAAAAGATCGAAAGCACTGGACGAGAGCACAGGCCGGCAGACTCAGAGAGGGCCTGATGCAGGCTCCGCGCGTCACCTGGTGTCTCTGCCGCGCCTCTGCCCACTCGGCTTGAACTGGCACGCTGCATTCTGGTAACATGTACACAAACAGGCAGTGGCCCCGGGTTAGTTTGCTGACCCTTGGACTAGGCAATTGCTAGAACCCTGTTCCAAATTAATATTCTGTAAGATTCTAATGAAAGTTCCAGGTTCCTCAAGAAGATGAGGAAATCGTGAGAAATCTAGGTACAAGAGTTGGGTTCATTTTAGATACTTAATTGACACCCTTATTAAAACAGTGTTCAGTACAAGTTATGGGAGAGTCTGCAGACAAGGCGCGAGCGCGGCTGCTCTGTGCTGCTGAGCTAGCCTTCCCCAGTCTTCGGGGGCCCACCTCCCTTCCTTGAACCACTGGCTCATGTGGGCAGTGTGTTCTGGCACTTCTGATCCGTGTGACGAGATGAAGAGGGACTGTTGGTGCTCTGGAGGCGAGCAGATGGGAAGGGACTGCAGTAGGTGTCCGCAGAGTGGAGGACGGCCAGGACTCTTGTCCGAGTTTGTTTTGTCCGAGTTTGTTTCAGAGTTCCAAGTCACGTCTTCCCACGTCCATTTCACCTTCCGTATCCTGGGCGGGGGAGAATACATGCTGTGTTTTTGCCTCAGTAGGTGGGGTCTTGTGTTTGCTGCATGCACAGGCCTTTGTCCAGGTAAGCTGCTGCCCTCACTACCACTGGTATTCACTTCTTTTGGGAAATCTCTTCCTACCCGGTGCTGTAGCGATATCTCACCGAGTCACTTGTACAGTTTTTCCGTTTACTAGGTGTCAGGAAGTGAGATGGTTTTCTTCTTCAGAAAAGCGGTGTCCGCCTGCCCTTTTTAGCAGCACCTGGTCCCTGCCGAGCTTCCATGGGTTTCCTCCTGAGTTTGGCCCCAGCCCTTTGCCTTTGAGGGCCCTGGCTCCCGGGAGCCGCTTTGGCTTTCATACCTCCTCTGGGGTTGCCTTCCGTGCCAGTGCGCACACCTGCACGGGGTCAGCCAGCTCCCACGCTGAGAAACACCCCCCACTGCCCTCTGTCAGGGGCAGTCCCCTTCCATATTCGCTGGCAGGGCAGGCTACCCCTGTGTGAGGCAGCTACGGTGTGGCTGCTTGCCACCCTCCTCGCCTCCCTCTTCTGTACCCCCTGCTCTGGCATTCCTAGTAAAGTGGGTCACGTCCGTGTGCACTGGGGTCATTGTGTCTCTTCCTGTTAGAGTGTGACCTCCTCTAGGGAGTGGTTTCTGTTACCGCGTGCGCCCTAGGTGCTGAGCATGTTTGGCAACACCCGGGACGTGTGAGGCTCAGGCAGTGCCTGCTGGGTAGTGAGAGCTTTGTGTCTCTTGACCACGGTTCCAGGCGGAGCTCTTGCTGCTTGCCCTGCATTTCCTTGTTTTGGAATTATCTCACAGCCACTGCCTTTGGACATGTCGTGTGTGTGGAGGGTCTTGCTCTATGGAGAAGTGTTTACTTTAATTATTTTGGCAAGCTCCTGGCTTCTAGTTTTGATTTTCGTGGGACTGACCTCCCTTTAGGAAGTATTTCTGTGCCGAGATGGCAGTGAAGCTTCCCTCTGCAGCATGTGCTCTGAGGGACAGGGCTGGGCTGGGGCACACGATTCCCAGCCCTAGCTGTCTGCCAGAATTACTGGGCGGCTTTAAACAACAAACAAACAAACAGACAAACAAAAAGAGCCTGCTCAATCAGATTGGGGGTGGGGTCAAGATTTGTATAATTTTAAGCAACGTTTGTACGTGATTGCTGTTAGTTAGCTTGGCGTACGGATTTCCTGGCTTCAACAGAATTGGGTGTTGTAATTTATTAGCAGCGTCTGCCAAGGGTGATGTGACTTAAGTATTAACTTTTTCACTGAGTATTAATGAGACAAAAGCTGTGAGCAAAACTTTTTATTCGCGTTTTCCTACACAGGGGGTTCTCCTGTGTCAGGAAGTATATGGTCTGATGGGGGAAGGAAAAGTGACCTAGAGACCCTTTAGAAAGTAAGTGTAAGATACGCAGCATTGACTGCCAGTCCAGCAGGAGGCAGAGTGGAAAGCGGTGAAAATAAGTGTTTTGATTGTTTGCTTTTCTCACAGGTTTGGTTACTTGTCAGAACAGCCCGGAGGCATATTTTGTTTCACCCACAGATTTAAAAAAGAGTTGAATTAATTGCTTAAATTTAAGAGGAAAAAATTACAGTCATAGATTTCCCTCCAAGTCCCAGTTTTGCTGCATCCTGTGTCTGAAAGTATTTTCTTATTTCCCTGGTTATTTCTTGTTTGACCTGTTGGTTGATGAAGTGTGTGCTGTTTAATGTTAGTGTGAATATTCCAGTTTTTGTTTTATTATTGATTTTTAGCTTTTTTAACCTAGAGACTATGCTTTGTGTGATGTGGACCTTTTATTAAAGTTTGTTAAGAACCGCTTTATGGCCAAGTGTGTGCCCTGCAGCACGGCCCAGTGTGCCTTGTTTGGGGTTGGCAGTCTCTGTTGGTCTGTGCTCAAGTTCATGGGCCCTCCTGCCAGTCCACGTCTACTGGAGGGCCCGCTGGTAAGGTTTTCATTGCAGTTCTTTTTCAATTCCAGAATTTCTTTTTGTTATTTTAAAAAATGATTTGTTTATTTAGAGCAGAGGTGTCAAACTCATTTCCACCGGGGGCCACATCAGCCTCGCAGTTGCCTTCAAAGGGCCAGATATAATGTTAGGACTGTACCAATGTTCTTAACTGGAGCAAGGAGCTCGGTGCTGCCGCCATGTGAAAACAAGGTGCGGGGCCCGGTAAAACCAGGTGGAGGCCAGGTTCAGCCCCGGGCCTCGTGTGTGCACCTGTGGTTTAGATGCCTGTCTGATGCAACAGCATCATCATGCCTTCCTCTAGTTCTTTAATCACGGTTTCTGTAGAATTTGCCCTTTTTTGTTTTTATCTCTAGTGTACCTGAATTGCATATTTCTTGAGTGATTTTTTTAATTTGATGTAGGCCTTCAGGATCAGTTCCAGAGACCTTAAACAGTCACCCCATTAACAGGAACCGACCGGTTTCCTGGGTGGCAGGCAGTGCAGCTCCACTTGCTCTTGCCTGCTGGGAGTGCAGCTCCTTGAGCACTTGGACTCCTCTTCCACATCTTCCATCCTTGGGGCTTTAGAGCGCACCCGCGGCCCCAGGCTGGGAACGTGCCTGGGCCGTCAGCCTGCATGGTCTGGCCCGGCAGGGCCGTCCTCACCAGGCTCTCTGGGGCGCTGTCTGCGTGCTGCCGCTTCTCAGGCCTCCTACCTGCACACGTGTGTGTCTGAGGTGTGCACCTTTGATTCTGCGTCTCTGATTTTGGGATAATGAAAGTGAATTTAAAAATGGCATGAAGTATGCTGTGTGTACAAAATGCATACGTAGTATGGAGAAAATGTAAACTATCTTATTTATATATTTTTAAAAGGTTTTATTTATTTTATTTATCTTTAGAGGGGAAGGGAAGGGAAGGAGAGAGGGAGAGAAACATCAATGTATGGTTGCCTTTCATGCATCCCCTGCTGGGGGCTGGCCTGCAGGGAACTGGCCTGCAACCCCGGTATGTGCCCTGACTGGGAATCGAACCTCGATTGTCTGCTTCGCAGGCCCGAGCTCAATCCACTGAGCTACACCAGCCAGGGCTTATTTATATTTTTTGTACTGAGTAATACCATTATTTTTGGATATCCTAGGTTAAATAATACATGTTTTAAAATTTTACTTGTTAAAGTTTCATGCTTTTTTCTTTTTAAATGTGATTACTAGAGAATTCTTTTTGTTTTTTTAAATCCTCACCCAAAGATATATTTACTGATTTTTAGAGAGAGAGAGGGAAAAAAAACATCACTGTGAGAGAGAAACATTGGTTAGTTGCTTCCCATATGTACTCTGACTGGGATTGAACCTGCAGCCCATGTATGCCCTGACTGGGGAGCCTACAGCCTATTGATGTATGGACAGCGCTCCAACCAACTGGGCCACCCGGCCAGGGCGCTACTAAAGGATTTAAAAAATACAGTTGATCCTGGAACAACTTGGGTTTGAACTTTACCGGTCCATTTATGTACAGATATTTTTCAGTAAACACATAGTTGGCCGTCTGTGTCCTCAGGTTCTGATCTGCAGACTTGGCCAGCCACAGGTGGAAAGCAGTTTTCTGACTTGTGGTTGGGAAACGGCAGGAGCAGAGGGCTGACCGTGTGCGCTGTGCTGGGCCATTTCCCACAAGGGGGCTGAGCCTCCCTGGATTTGGGTGTCTGCGGGGTTTCTGGACCCAGTCTCCGTGGGCACTGGGGGATAACTGCTGAGTTTTGGCAGAGGCCACAGTTACGCACGGATTCTCAGCTGTGTGGTGGGGCGGGTTTGGGCGCCCCGCCCCCTGCTTGCTCAGGGCTCTGTGTGTGTGTGTGTGTGTGTGTGTGTGTGTGTCATGCTGGGCTCCTGTCATCACACTGTTCCCACATCATCCTGACGCTTCCTTAGCAAGGGTCTCCGTTCTCCCTGACACATTTGGAAACAACGTAACCATTACAAAAAGTGGTACAACTGGTAGCCAGATCAGCAGTTCTTTTTTTCTTGTAGTTGTAGGAAAAATATAACTGGGTTCTCTCAATGGTCTTTCATGCCTAGTAATGTTCAATAAATTGATTTTTTTGGGGGGGGTAGCTTTGTCCTTCACAGTTTTTGAATGTTAAAAATGGCAAAAGTATTTATAAGAGTTATGTGTGGACAGTGTCATACCAGGAATCCCCCAGAGAAAGGCAGCGGTGGTGCCGAGGGTGTGGAGTGGGCTCTGCTTTGGGAAGACTGACTCTCGTGGCCTCTCTTGCAGACGATGACTTCGACCAGTTTGACAAGCCCGGAGCAGAGCGGTCCTGGAGGAGGAGGGCTGCGGACGAGGACTGGGACAGGTACGCCGCCTGTGTGGGGTTCGGCCACACTGACATGTCTCCTGCCACGTGACCACAGAGGTCTTCTCAGCAGACAGTGTGTGGGCTGCCCAGTGCTCTTCTCGAGTGGGTTGGGGACCGCTGACAGGCGGGCACTCAGGGAGAGGCTGTCCTGTGCGCGGGGCAGCCCGTGGACACTGGCTGTCTCAGCTCCCTGTCTCTCTGTGTTGACAGGCTGAGAGCTTGGTGGACACCCAGCATTGTCGGGGCGCTCTGCCGGGGTTCCTGTTCACACGCTGCCCAGGATTTGGTGGACTTCTAAGCTTTTGCCGTTCTGACATGCAAACAGTGGTGTCTCACTGCCATTTAAGTTTGCATTGCTCTGGTTTCTAGTGAGGATGAGGATGTGCTGCATCTGTTCAGGCACAGTGCGTGGACATTCCCCAGGAGCAATAGGTGTCAGTTCAGGTAGCAGTTAGTTTCGGCGAGGGGCTGGAGCAGGGGTAGATGGGTGTGTATTGGAAGAGTCCGTAGGCCAGAGCCTGGGCGGCGGCGTTGTCAGGTGGTGGGGAGTCTCCCTGTACACACACCTCACCATTTCACAAGCTGTGTTGAAAGTGTGACCTTGGCCTGCATTTGGAAAGTTTGTTCTGAAGGTCAGTGGCCCTGACTGCAGAATAGCAGCGGCACGCTGCTGTGAGACAGGCCCGGCCCCTGCTGGGACGTAGGGGTCCATGTGTGTCCGTGTGTGTGTGTGTGTGTGTGTCGGGAACAGCTTCTCACAGCCTTTGTCCAATCCGCTGCTCCCCAGGGAGTCTCTTCTGGCCTGTAACCCTTAGAGCTCAGAGCAGAGGCGCCCATACGAGGAATGGGTGCCCCAGGAAGCAGTGCTGGCAGGTGCTGTTTCCAAAGTGGACGTGAGCCGAGTGAATGCAAAGTCTGTTTTTGCAGCCTGCTCTTCGCTGGGGCGTCCTCTTCTGCCAGTTCTCTCTTCAAACCTGTGTGGGGTTTTATTTGGGGGGGGGCTCTCTTCTTTTTATGGATTTTAGGGATTCTTTATAGTTGGAAATTTTTGTGGTAATAGAGATCCCCTCCGAGTCTGTGGCCTGTGTCCCCTCGAGCAGCACACCGTCCCTCAGTAGGTCTCTGTCAGTAATGTGATTAAATGTCCAGTCTTTTCCTGCATGGTGTCATGTGCTCTTTCACCAATGTGTGAAAGTGTTTGTCTGTGAGAAGAACGTAGATGCTCTGGCCAGCGCCTGGTCCCCTCGGAGTCCCTGTCTTGGGGGAGAGCCTGCCCCCCACTTCCAGAGCACAGCCGTGCTGGCGGAAGGCTGGATGCCAACACGCAGACTCCGACACGGGGCTCTCGGTTACTCTGACTCACGGGCCTGTCCCCTTCAGCGGTATTTCATCATGTTTTCATTGCTTCAGTGTTTGCATTTGATGAGTGTCGAATGCTCTCAGTAGTTGTGGTTTTTAACTTTCCTGTTTAATGGAAAACTAAGCTTCGAGGTCTGCCAGAGCCACCTCCTGTAACAAAGCTTCCCGGACTTACAGGACCAGTGTTCCCTATACGTTTGAAGATAAGCTTTCATTGTTAATAAAGGAAAGGGAAAGGAGAGCAAATATAACGTGCAGGTACCCAAGCCTGGAAGCCCTGGGCATATTTCCCAGCCACCCGCAAATGTCCCAGTGTAGTAGGCTGATACATTGGTGTGTCTCTGTTTCTCCGCAGTGAACTTGAAGACGACTTACTCGGAGAAGATTTGCTCTCTGGGAAAAAGGTAAGAAATGCAGGTCTTCCTGAAACTAGTAAATGGTAGTCATTTAATTACACGTAGAATATGGGAACACTCATACATCTTCTGCCTGGGATGCGTTACTAGAAAGTCGGGTATAGATTAAAATTTGGTGAACTGAATTATTTATTTAGCACACAGAGAGCTGTTGGTATATTCTCTGATAACTTAAACTTGGAGCAGTACATCCTTTAGTAGTTCCTGCATCATCCAAGGCGTTCCAGCAGGTGCTGAGTTTGAGAAAGTTGCAGCCACACAGCTACGACCTGCCTTGAAGGCACTCAGTATTTGGGGCTAGTGTTGGGCGCACCAGGTCTGGAGTCCACTGTTCGGCAGTGTTCAGAGACGAGCTGGTAGGGAGACACGCTCCGACGCACTGGCAGTCGGGCGGTTGCGACCCGCTGTCTGGGGCCTGGTGTGGGTTCCTCTTAGCCTGTCGGATCAACCAGAAACTTTAAAGCTGTTATCTGTAGTGTGTATCTGTTTGTATATTGTGTATGTGTGTGTTTCCCTCTGCCAAAATAATTTTAACGTAATAAAATGTACATTAAAAGTAGAAAAATAAAAAGCCAAAGATTAAAGTGAAATAATATTTTTTTTATTTTATTATTAACTGAAAACATTTGCAATTCTCATCACATATGGATCGTTGTTATTTTTTTTAATTCATTAATTAATTTTAGAGGGCGGGAGAGAAACATTATTAGTCGACTACATTTCGCAGCGTGTTCCCAACTGGGGCCCGGCCCACAACCCAGGCATGTGTCCTGGTTAGGAATCAAACTGGTGACCCTTTTGGTTCACAGGCTGGCGCTCAGTCCATGGAGCCATACCAGCCAGGGCTAGATAGTTCTGGTTTTAATTGAAGTATAATTGACATGATAATACTCTAAGCTTAGTATTTTGAAGTTTTAAGGTTGTGGTGGCTTCTTACTGTCACCATTTATACTCAAGCTTATACTTTTGTGTGATCGGGCCACATCACATGTCAGATTTGATTGGGTTTTCCTTGTAATCTCGTCGGTAGTCTGGTTGGTGAAGAACTCGGCTGGGAGAAGCACAGGCGTGCCATTTTCTTGTAACTTACTGTGCTGCATTATCAGCAATGTCTCTGAGAGGAGAATTTGTCATGGGGTTCTTTTGAAGTCACTTTCCTGCCTGTGTCCTGTTTCTTACTGCACCCCTGGCCGGCAGGTGGCTTGGGATTGGCCATCCCCAACCTTTTCTCCCTCAAGATGCTCTGCCAGCACCTGTAACCCTGAATAAGAATTACTTCGGTTACCTGCAGATCCACTTGGTCTCATGGAAGTGGGGATACAGCAGGCTGGAAGGCGAAAAGCTGCGAGGGAGCCCCCCAGCCCCTGCATGCCCTAGCGTGCAGACACCACCTGTGAGGGGTGCTGCGGGCTCCAGGGCTGTCCCTCCTGCACTTGGTCAGAGAGGCGACCCCTGTTTGGAGCCTTGAAGTGTGCGTGCCATGCTGGGGCCGCCCCTGAGGCCTACATGGCCTTCCTTCTTGTGTGGTCCTGTGTCTGGTGAGGATGCCAGTCAGGTGTCCCAGTGTTCAGGTTGGTAAAGTGCTTGAGCCTGAAGTCAGACCCCTGTCCTCGGGCTGTCGGGTGTGTCACGGTGTCCCCAGGCTGTTGGGTGTGTCACCGATACCCCTGTTTCTCTCAGGGCACCCCACTGGCCCCAGTGACCTCCTGCTCCTGAAAGTGCTGGTCACTGCCCTGACGGCCAGTGGAGGCAGTACAGCACCATGTGCTGTGGATAGTGATGTGGCTGTTGTGGGGAATGGGCTTCTTATCTATGAAATGGGGAGGTAGGTGGGTGTGGCCCCAGGCACCTCTCAGGCGGGCCGCAGTGAGTGCCCCATGACGGCCAGGCCAGGCCCCGGATGCTAGTGCTCTCTGACCCTGTGCTCTCTGACCCCGTGCTCCCTGCCTGTCTCTGCCACCTTGGGCATCGAGGCAGCTTGTTCAGTTTTAACAGTGACATTCCTCTGTCTGTCCCCTCCTTTCTGATGTGAAATAGATGCCTTGTACCTTGCGAGAGTTAGAGTTCAATAATATAAAAATAAGTAATGAAGAAATAGGGATAAGCCCTCAAGACTGACATTTTGCCATATTTTCTTTCAATCTACATTTTATTGATTTCAGACACGGGAAGAGGGAGGAAGGGCAGAGAGAAGGAGAAACATCCATCAGTTTCCTCCCGTATACACAGCAACCAGGGATCCAACCCACAACCTTTCGGTGTACAGGGTGATGCTCCAACCAACTGAGCCACCTGACTAGGACTCCTTTTATTCTTTTTCCTGTGCTTTAAAATATACCTTATACATAAAACATTGTTTCTTTTAAATTTATCATTGTATCAGTGTCTGTCGTCCCTAAATGTTACTTTAAGGTACTTTATAACGGCTACATATTATTTCCTTGCTTGTGTATACCATGGTATTCCTAGCTGTTTTTATGTGTATTGGGATTGTTTCCAGCTAATTGCTTATGACTTTGGCGGGGCAGGAGGGGGCAAAAAACCTTTTTGATGGAAAATTTAAAGCCTGTACAAAAGAAGAAGGAACAGTGTAAAGGACCCCGTGCGCTTGTCACCGGCATCTGCAAGGTGTAGTTAAAGGCTTCATCTTCATGCACTCACCACGCCCCAAGTCACTCTGACGTGACCCTCAGACTTTGTGACAGTGTTCCAGTGCGTGTGCTGCTGAGGCGAGCACACTGATGGTGTGTCACTGTGCAGGTGTCACTGTGATTGGAGAGTCTGGTCTCAGGCAATTTCCACAGAGCAGGGTCTCTGGTCTGTGGGCGTGAGGGCGTCAGGTGCCTGTTTCTTGTTGCTAGGCCGCTTTCCAGGAAGGTTTTCCCCCAGCACTTGCGTGTGAGCGTCATTCACCCTTTCATTCACAGCTTTGATACCACTTAAAAAATAAACCTTTGACCGTGCAGCAGATGATAGACAGTGTCTGGTTGGTTTCCTTTACATTTGTTTGATTGCTAATGAGGTTGGCCATTGGGCCAGGTATTTATTAGCATGTTTATTGTAGATCTGTGAGCTGAGCCCAGGCGGTGGGTGTACTGGCTGCCTGACCACTGTGTTTTTCCCACTTGGGTTCCCACAAAAGGTACAGAGATGTAAGTTTGTCATCTGGAGAGAGACTTCTGGGCCACTGGTGGGCCAGAGCAGGTAATGGCTTCTCCTTCTACTCAGAACCATGTGCTGAGTGTAGCAGACATGTCAGACGGACAGGGACAGCTTGAGGACAGGCCCATCTGTGTCGAGAAGGGAGGGGAGTAGGGTCAAATTTTAAATGTAGGATAAAAATGAGAAGATTGCAAAGGTCTGCTGAAGTAGGCTGGCTTGACCCAGTGAGAGCTGTTAGAAATGAGTGGAGGTTGTGGCGGCAGGTTCCTGCCAGGCCAGGCCTCCTTCTGGAGCTTCGGCTTTCCTTCCGTGGCAGCTGGCACCGGACTGGTGCTCTCCTGGCACACCTGGGTCTCCCGGCACACCCGGGGTTCTTCCAGGCTTGGACACCTGTCCCCCTCCCCCTGTATGTGCAGCCCTGCTGCCCCACAGTGGCCCCTGCATTCCTGGGAGTCCTGGGGACCCAGTGGGGGGACTGCTCTTTCTCTTCCCTGCCAGTCTTCCCGGGGGAGGCACAGGTAGCAGTTTGGTGAACCTGGGAGAAGGGCTTCACTAGTGTTCCTGGCCACTATCTCTTCCTCTGTTGGGCTCTGTGTGCCCTGCTTGCTGGCTGACCATCCTGAGCAGAGCCCACCCTCGCTCTCTACCACCCAGTTCTTTGGGAGAAAGTGGGAAGTAAGTTTTGGGCCCGAGGATTTAGTCTAGTTCTCTGTGCCAGCCCTATCAATGCAGTAGGCACTGAGACAATTGTCTCCTGTGTCTGGTACAGAAACGATGCGATTGAATCTGCAGAACTCAGAAATGACACTCACTGCCGTGGGGGTCCGTTACCATATATGCTCCTTTTTTTGCTTGGGAATAATTCATTGGTGCACTGATATTTGACAAATAAAAGTTCAACTAAAAAACTCAAGGAAGCAGCCTCTAACTGAATGAAATTTGGCTTTCACTGAAGGGTTAATTTATAAAGATTTCCTGAAAGCAGTTTAGTGAATTAATGAGTTGGGCGACCAAACCTAATGTCACCCGTGGCAGACCCTATTCACACCTGCTAGTGGCGTTCTTGTCACTCAAAACCGGTGCAGCTGGGAGGCCAGTGTGTGGGCAGCTGGGTGAACTTCATGTCGACTGTGAAGCACTCTGCTTTGTTTTCAGCTGCTTCAGCCTCCCTTCAAGTGAAGGAACTACAGTATCCATGTTTTATCTTACTCTAGTGTCAGTGATTAGGTGGGGCCCTTGGGACCAATAAGAACTACTAATAAGATGGACGTATTTTTGCTCTGGTTGGGGAGCTCAGCTGGTTGTAATATAAACCTGTACACCGGGAGGCTGAGGGTTCTATCCCCTGCAAGGCACAGGCCTGGGTTTCCGGTTCAGTGTCTGCTCACGGTGCACTTGGTGGCAGCTGATTGATGTTTCTCTCTCGCTCTCCCTCCTCCTTCCCCTCTAAGGTGAATAAGCATATCCTCCAGTGAGGATGAAAAAAATTATGATAGATTTTTGGTTTACATCAAAAATACTGTAATGGAGACTATACAGACGAGTGTGAGGGAGCCTGTTTGTATAAGCTGTAAAGATGCCAAGAAAAGATTGATTTGTTTCCTTCATCTTTAAGTAGAAAACCAAGTCTTCCCCGGCCCCCCCCCCCGTGTTTTTGTGGGAGCAGGGCTTTGATTGTCTTTTAGAGGGGAGTGGTAATTTACACATCCCATAGAAATAATTTTATATAGCGAAGGAACGTGTGAAGTCGCCCCTTCCCCATCTAAGATGCTGGTGAATATTTTACTTAAAACCTGGACCTACAGAAATTTCACCAGTTGACGAGTCCACCGGCCACCTCTGTCAGGGACACGACGAGGGCACAGGGCTGTCGGGGTTGGGGCCAGGGCCTGAGCAGTCACGCGTGTCTGCACAGGCCCCCTGGTTGGAGCTATAGTGTAATCTGTTGCCATTCCTGGGTGGTGACCCGGCTATCTAAAGTCTGCTCATTTCCAACGCTCTCCTCTTTTTTTCTTTAAAAAGTCTTTAGATTTGGGTACTAAAACTGTTGAATTTAGTAAAGTCTTAAGAATACCATTTTATTTGTGTACATGCATGGCAAAAATTTTTGTAGGATGTCATCAAAAAACTTATCCCTCCCCCCTTTTTGGTTAGAATGAGAATAAGTATGTTGATTATGCTTGTTGCTTCTATACTTACTTGACTTTGCATCTAAAAATTAGCGTGGGGTGGTTAGCCAGTGCACTATATGTAGGATTTCTTGATTTTTGTCACTGCTTATAGCAACCGCGAAAACTTCCTGAATGGCAAATGTTTTCATAGCAAGGTTGGAAACAGTCCAGTCAACATGATTTTGCACTTTTGTAACACATCTTTTTATGGAAGTGACATGCATTAATGAGATTTCTTATTTTGATTAGAACCAGTCTGATTTGTCAGATGAAGAGCTGAATGATGATCTTTTACAGAGTGATAATGAAGACGAAGAAAATTTCAGGTACTCAGTGTTAACTTCTTAAAAGTGTTCTTTCTTTAGCTGAGTTGATAAGAACTGTTTGTAATTCATGATTCTACTAGAGGTAACTCCGTGTGGTGCGATCTGTAACATCTGATCACACCGTGAGTGGAATGCCAGGGTAGCTCTGGCGTGACAGCCCCGCACAGTCTTCCGTTCAGAGCAGCGCTGTGGAACCCGCACTGGCTGTGCATTCAGGGATCCCTAGCCTGTGGCGGCGATGGGAGTGTGCAGGGCCACCCTGGCTTCTTAGTGCGGGAGCCCCTCCTCCACCCACTGCGCTTCTGGGCTGGGCGCTGCTGCTGCTGCTGCTTCCCCCCATCTGGACCGGTGTTCCCTAGGTGTGAGTTTCACCTGGCTGTTTCTTTCTGGGAGTTGGCACCATGGACATTCCTTCGGTTTCCACTTCAGACTCCAGCTGGGTGTCTGAATACAGTTGCTGTCATTTGTCTTGGCTGCTGTGACGACGCCCGCAGCCTGGGCGGCTCGTAAATGACAGGCTTTACTTCCCGTGGTGCGTGCTGGCTGGTTCCGGTGAGGACCCGCTTCCTCATGCACCGGAAGCGCCTTCTCGCTGGGCTCCCCCGTGGCAGCAGTGGTGAGGGGTTCCTTTGTCATGGCACTAATCTCATCGTGAGGCTCCACCCTCACACCTTCAGCACCTGCAGAAGCCTCTACCTCCAGACACACTCACACTGCGGGTTGCCCTTGAAACATACTCGTCCAGTTGTTAAGCCACATGTCTGTGAGGTGCACTTACTGCTTTTATTAATACTAGGTACTTCATGTGTAGGACTTAAGATTTGTCTGCAAAGTCTTGCATTTTAAGTGTTACCTTGTATCTTATTGTTGATATTTACCTTTTTTAAAAAAAATACTTTTAGAGAGAAGGGAAGGGAGAGAGGGAGAAATATCAATGTGTGTTTGCCTCTTGCACACCCCCTGCTGGGGACCCAGCCCACAACCCAGGCATGTGCCCTGACTAGGAATCAAACCCCAGCACTTTGGTTCACAGGCCCACACTCAGTCTGGGTGGTATTTGGCTTAATAGGTAGAATATGATTTTTTTTTTTTTTGCAGTTTTAAAACCCCCTGTATGTCGCTCAGAAATAACGAAGCAGTATTTTTTGTGTTCGTGACTACAGTAAACTTCATGTATTTGACATTGAACTGTAGTTTTACACCCATTTTAATGTTTTACACAGGAGTTTATCATTTGCACCATAGAGCTAAAAAATAATTTCATCTATGATTTTCTGTTTATAGAGCAGTGCTCCTGTTTTTACTTAGAAATATTAGAAAGCAGATGTCATCTTTTCCATCTGGTGGTTAGAGTGAAATACACTCCGTCTGCTTCCTGCTTTCAGTCCTGAGCTGCTGCTGGTCAGACCTGCTTTCTCGTCTGGTGGGTCTGCTGCTCGGGGGCAGAGAACCCGCAGCTGCTGATCATGGGGGTGTGTCCCATCAGGGTGCAAGGTGCCATCTCAACTCCGTGCACGGGCTGTTGTGGCCATTGTGGGAGTCTGTGTGTGTTCATAAGAGCTGAAGTAACTTTTTGCCGTTCACGAGCAGTCGTTTAACACTTCATGGACGTGGTGACTTGGTTTTGAGCTCCACTCTGACTGGCTCCTCTCTCTGGGTGTTTGTCCTCTCTAGCTCTCAGGGCGTCACAGTCAGTCTGAAAGCCACGTCTGGCATGGTCACGTCCTACGAGCTGTCTGACAGCACGCATGACCAGTCTGGAGAGCAGGAATCCGAGTACGAGCAAGGGGAGGAGGACCTGGGCTACCCTAAGTCCGATGGGTCTGCACTGTACGCTCACGAGTACCCGGAGGAGGGCCAGTACGACGGCCAGGAGGCCGAGCTGGCCGAAGACCACATGGAGTACGTGGAGGAGCCGGAGGAGGGGCAGCTGTACAATGACGAGGTGCTGGACATCGAGATCCACGAGCCTCTCGACGAGTTCCCGGTGAGTCCCCTCTTTGTCCGCCGTGGTGGCGGGCGGCCTGGCTGTTTCCAGATGGGTCGGAGATCCTGTCCCTCCCCTCGGGAGGGAGTGAAATTAGACCTGATTATCACTGTCTGCCAGTTTCTTTATCTGAGCTGTGACAAAGTTTGTGCTGACAGCTTGTTTGGCTGGAGGTGACGCTCCTTTGTCACTCTGGAAGGCTGCAGGGATGGTGACCTTGAAGAGTGCGCCCGGAGGAAGCAGACGGCTTTGTGTGGGGGAGACACTCTGTCAATTGTTAGCAGTACTTAATGCGGAGCTTTCATCTAGCTTTAGACAGGATCTGATAAAGTCCTTCGAAGGTGAAAAGATTATTGACCTGCTAAAGACATCTTTGCAGTGCTAATATCCCACGGTGATTGATGTCCTGTTCATTCACCCTTTCCCAAACCGAGACCTGTCCAGATGCGAATAAAGAGATGGGAGGTCGGGTTAGGGGCCGGCCAGAATTTGTGATCTGGGATAAGGGAGTGGAGGTGGTGCTGATTTTTATGAGGTGGTTTCCATGGTCATTTCTTTTTTGAAGTATCAGTAGAGAAAAAGGTGCTAGTGATGGGTTGTTCATCTGCCTTTAGTGGTTCATTATGAAAAGGTTTTTTTCCCCATTTTTACTTTTATTAGTATTGAATTTATGCTTAGTCCACTCCCAGGCCATCAGCTTTTCTTTCTTCGGTCTCTCCTGGGATGTCTTTTTCTTCCATGCAGCCTCCTTGTCCAGGGCTCTTTCTCGGTGGGACCATCTCTGGGTGGCGGGCGAGCGCGCGTGTGGGCAGGCCCTCCTGTGAGCTCTGCGAGTTCTGAGCTGTGTCCTGGGAGCTTCGCTCACCCGGATGTGCTCAGAGGACCTGCATCCAAACCCTTCAGCGCAGCACTGCTCTCTGCACCTTTGAGCATGTGCGGCACAGACTCAGCACGTTTTCTGGGCCGCCAACCCTGCACCCAGCCCCACTGTTGGGCCTGGGCACACCTATCAGCTCCACCCTTGTATTGATTGGCTGGGACACATTGCTTCTTAAAAGGGACATCTTTCAGATACTCGGTGGCTTTTCGAGTATGCACAACCTTGATGGCCTCGGTAGTTTCACAGTGTTCTTAAGGTGAACATGGAGATTTGAACATCTTGATTGGCATGACTTTGTGGGATTTTGTGGGTCCAGTGAAGAGCGAACCATCTTCAGGTCACCTCTGATTGCTTTTGGGAAGAGGAAGAAAAAGTGATTTGTTTTTAAAAACAAGCACTTAGCTTCACGAGGGAAGTGTGTGGCCTCCCCAGGTGCAGTAGGGTACTGGAGTTTCCAGAACACGGGGGTTGTTCTGGGGTGCACGATGCTGGGGGCAGTGGAGGTGGGGTGCAGAGCCCCGTGCCAGAGGCCTCCGCCCTCGTTCCTTATGTTCTCCTTCTGGGGAAGCTTGCATTGGAGAAGAAAGTCAAAAATTGCTGGATTTTGGCCACTGAGGTACATATTCGAGTATGTATGTAATTCCCAAAGGGTTGTGGACGTGGGCCCCTTAGACTGTGTAGTCCAGATTGTGTTGGGGGATCTCAGTAGTTATTTCTAAGATTGGATTCTTTTTGAGTGCTTTCCATGAGGCAGATACAGTACTGAACATGTTGGGGTTTCGGTCGGCAGAGTCATGTAGAAGGCGTGCGGGGTACATGCTCTGTGACAGCCCTGTGGTGGCTGCGGTCTCTGGGCTGTGCTCTCAGTGTATTTGGTTCTTGTGCACCCTCTTGTACGTGGGACACCCCTTAGAATGCTTTCCGACAGCTGAGGTCCAATCTTTTCAAATCATGCCTAGTTATTCCCTAGCCACAGTGTCCTATTCTCGCTGCTGCCCATCAGTAGAGGAAAGGGCTGGCTGGCACACTGGCTGCCCTCTCTCTGGTGACTTCAGCAGCCCAGCAAGTCCTTACTGGTGCTCCAGCAGCGGGGGTGCAGATGCTGTGCAGGCACGAGGTGTGCCCCTGATGTCTGTGAACTTGGATGTGAGAGGGACAGACCTCAGTGGAAAAGCACTGGACTCGCAAGCGTGCACAGCGGCACGGAAGGGCGCCCGCCTGTGCACTCTGGCAGAGTGTGCTCCGCCGTTGCTCCGCAGGTCCCGCGTGGACCCTGGTCGTATGCATCCACATCCCGCGGGCTCATCCTTCCTCTTGGGGTCTGGAGGGAGGCCGCAAAAAGAAAAACATGCAGTACTTTTCCACACTTAAAAGGAATTAATTTTCTTTCAGAATTAAAAAGTATTTCTTAGGAATTCTGAAAGTGTTCTATTTCCATGGAGAGTTATACACTGTCAAGATGTGGCCCAGTAGTTGGCTGTGCTGCTGCAAGCCTGTGTCAGTTCCTCTGTCCCGGCGCTCTGCGGTTGTGGACTGGGTTGTGGACTGACATCTTTGTAGCTCACGGTGCTAGGACCCCGCCTCCCCTCTCTGGGTGGGAGGAGAAGGTGGACGTGACCTGTGCAGCCCTCCCCCAGCCATCCCAGGCAGTACTTCCTCAGCGTCAGACTATGGGACGGCCTGGCCCGTGGCAGGTCGCTTTACTGGACAGTGTGACACCTGCCTGACGGGTCCTGCCGAGGGCTGCTGGCTGTACTCTGCAGTGCTGACTGGGGGCACAGCCTGCACGCTCATCCTGGCCGTCCCCGAGAGGGTGTCTTGTGTCATTGTGGCAGACTCCAGCCATAGAGTGGGGTCTGTAGCGGGGGCCCCCGGGTGTTCTCTCTGCTGCACCCAAAGGCGGGAAGGTCCCTGTGTCCTGGACCTTTTGCTGGTCCTGTTCTTGAGAGTGAGTTGGGGTCTGATGTACAAATGTGTACTTAGGAGGAGCGTCATCTGTCATACGAGTTCTGCTTTCAGCTGTCAGTGTATTTCGGGCCTTAAAAATGAATGTGGTGAGTCCCGGCCAGGTGGCGCATTGTTGGAGCACCCTTTCGTAACTGAAAGGCAGTGGCTTCAGTCCCCCATCTGGGTGTGTATGGGCGGGAGGCAGTTGGTGTTTCTTTCTCCCTTTCACTCTTCGCTCTAAACACAATGAAAGAGTGTCCTTGGGTGACGGGGAAAAAATCAACACAGTGAGATTTCATAGAACCTCGTTCTGTGAAAACAGTTTCCAGCTGACAGTGTGTGCGCAGGGTAGCAGATCGGGCTTCCCACGCGCAGGCCCGTGTTCGAGTGCTCGTCAGCCAGACTCTGAGGAGCACCATGCGGCCGTGTGTGCTCTGCACGCAGTGACTCGTGGGTGCTGACGGGTGGTTTCCGACTGCCTTGTCCGCCTCGGACATCTTGGAAGTCTCTTCATTGTGGAACCATGGCTGTCCCTCTATACTGTGCAGGAGGTCGGTCAGACGCCAAGGCCCGGCCGCCCTCTGTTGCTGGTCTTGTAACCACGCAGTTCACTTCGGCAAGTGCCTGGGGGTGCCGGAGGTCTAGCTCCCCTGTAGGATCAGATTTTCTTGTCACTTGTTAGTGACACTTGCAGGGGCCCTTCTTTCTCTCTGGGATCAGCCCCTTCCTCCCTCGCGCCCTCCAGGCCTCCTTCCGGCTGACATCACATGCAGACCTGCGCTGTGTCTCGTGCGTGGGAGGAGCTGGTGGAGAAACTGCTTCTGGCCCATGGTGCTCAGGATGCTCTTGTGTTGAGCCTGGTTGCCCTTCTCCTCTCGCCCTTCTGTCATCTTCTGCTGTCAGAGGGGGTTGGATGCGGCGTGACCCAGCCTCACTGTGCCCCGGGGGCATGAGGTTCCTTCCTCATTGCCGACTCCATCCCAGCAAGCGGTGCTCTCAGGCCCTGGGGTTTGGAGCAGAGCTGGCCTGACCTCTGAGGCTGGATCCCTGCTGCGCTCCATTCTCAGCAGCACAGTGGTGACTGCCACGTTCGAGTTTGCTACAGCACCTGGCGTGTGTCTGCACGATGAGCAGCGCTGAGGAACCCCCAAGGTTGTGTGAGCAGGTAGGGCAGGGAGAGCACTGTGCGCACCCCCTGGGGCCCCTCTTTTCCCTTGGTCGGAGCTGGGAGGGGATTCCTGAGACACGGTGGCGGGGTGTCCAGTGCCACACAGAATCACCAGAGGGCTTTCCACGTGACCATGATTGCACCGTCCTCCTCTCCCCGCAGTCTTTGTGAAGGTCTCAGTTCCCCAGCATTTGATAGTGTTAGTCTTTTCCTTGGAGTGTCTCTGATGGGGGTGTGGTCTCGGGCTGAGTTGTATTTCTCTGTTGACTAAGGGTGTTTGTGCCTTCTCCGGGCTGAACCTGTGTTTCTTCTTGGTGTCCGTTTTTAGTCTCTAAAAAGAAGGTTGGCTTTTTAATTTTTGTCTCCGTCTGCTGTCCATAGTTTACACAGAACAATGTGTGTACACATGTGCACACCTGTTCACACAGAGTCTGTGTGCTTTCTGTGTAGATCATAGTACCTGCATGTTCTGAATATAGGTCCATTGCAGACATACAGAATGAATATTATCTCTGAGCCTGTGGCTGGGTTTTAATTTTCTTAAAGGTATTTTTTCCATGAGCAGAAAATTTTAATTTTTGTGAACACTAATTTTGTGACCCAAGAAATCTTTGCCTACCCCAGAGTTGCGAAGATAAATCCCCTGTTTTCTCCTGGAAGCTTTATACTATTAGCCGTTTTTGACTTAGGCCCATGCTCTGTCTCAGCTAAGAAGTGTGTGTGTGGCATGGGATTCGTCGTTGGTATGTTTGTTAGCTGCTGAACTGCGGTTGGTTTAGCGGCATCTCTCTCTGGGGTCTCTCCTGTCCCCACCTGCGCAGCACTGCCTTCGTCACTGTGGCATGACCTGGGGTGGTGTGAGTCTGTCAGCTGGGTTCTGCTTCTGAGGATTGTTTGGTCTTTTCTAGGGCCTTTGAATTTCCATAGTAGCTCTGCCATTGACTTGCCGGTGTCTGCGACACATTCGGTTGGATTGTGATGAAGATTGCATTGTGTCTTAGATCCCACTGGGGAGAGGCCAACAGTCAGGCTGTCCGCTAGTAAACACAGTTCCATCTTCCATTGCCAACCTGTCCTTTTCTTTCTTTTGCCTTCCTGGCCTCACGTTTGAGGCCTCTGTTCTGAGCTGGCCTTGATAGTAGGAAAGACGTTCAGTATTTGGGAGACTCAGAGGGTCTGTGCTCTAGCCCCCACCGTGTTCAAGAGTCATCTGTATATGTTTCAGAAATGCAGCTTTCAACTCACTTGGCCCCCTTCCGATCTCTTGGGTGGAGATATGGATGCAGAGTGAACCACGTTAGTTTGGTGCTGTCTGCTGTCCGTTCATTTTGTCTGGCAAGTTCTCGAACTGTTGTTGCTGCTGACAGTTGGATGGGAGACGACTGTGGTGATAATTTGCTTCATCAGTCGTCGGTTTTTTCCTCCTCGGTGGCCTCTCTACTCAGGGCAGGAACTGCACCAGCCTGTGCGTGTCACCTGCGCTGCAGCTGTCGGGGAAGGGTGCAGCGATGGTGTTGTTCAGTGTCGTGTGCGTTTGCAAGTGCAGAAGTTCGCTCTTCATTCTGTTATGAGTTCAGGATGCTTAAAAATGACAGACTATGAAGACAGACAGCTTTTAACTCTGTGAAAAGCATTTCCGGGAACTGGCGCTAGGCAGGCGTCTGTCCAGCAGTTTGACCTGACACCAGGTGGGAGGCACGGGTGTCGGAAGGATGTGCGAGGCTCAGGCTGGGGGCTGTCGGTGAGGAAGGGGAGGTTGGTGTGGGACTGGAGGGGCAGGGCCTTTGGTGCAAGAGTGATGTGGCAAAGTGAAGCGTGAAGTGTGGGCTGGTGTAGATGAGAAGCAGGTACTGAGGAACAAGGCTGGGGCGGGCAACTCAGTGGTTGCAGCAGACCGGGTGCTGGGGGACGGGTAGGGGGTGTGTGGGGGGGGGATGATGAAGGGGAGACTTCCAGCAGTTAGTTACCTGTGTAGTGGGCAGCAGTGTGCTGTCATCTGGTGTCAGTGACAAGGTGACAAGGTGGGCCACATTGCCAGCGAGGGAGCCCACGGACTCCAGTGTTAGTTTTGCTAACATACCAAACTTGGCTAGAGTCTGGGTTGGATGCCTGGTCAGCGAGGGGTTTGAGATTCATGTTCATTCTCTCTAAACTGTGATTTGCAACGTGGGAATGTAATCTTTTTTTTAACAGTAAGTTAGTTTTCAATGTTCAAGATGATTTTCTTTTGGAATCAGTTCGGTGTTTCTCACGGCCTTATAATAGGACATTATGAGATGTTTTTACATCTTAAATGTAAAGAACTTATATTCTTCCATCCTTAATTCAAGAGGAGATGAGCTAACTTTCTTTCCCCCATGTTGTGTGTGTCTGCTGTGTAGGGGGGCATGGAGACTTTGGAACTGCAGAAGGAAATAAAAGAAGAGTCAGATGAAGAAGATGATGAGGATGAAGAATCTGGACGATTACGTTTCAAAACTGAAAGGAAAGAAGGAACAATCATTAGGCTCTCAGATGTAACTCGAGAGAGAAGGAACATTCCAGAAACTTTAGGTAACTATTTTCCCTATCTCTCATCTTTCCTCACTCCCGTTCCAGCTTCTTCCATGGCACTATTATTAGTAATCAAGTAGCTGAAGACCATTTGGCGTCCTAGAGCATCACAGAGGCCATTAGAGGGCGGTGTCCGTGTGGGCTTGGCGCTGGACTGTGGTGCTGTCAGTCATTCTGTGAAAACGCAAGGTGGCTTGTTTGTGGGTGAAATCGACTGACCCACATTCTGAGCGAACCCTGCCATTCAGGATTGGCAGCAGGCTGCTGCTGATCGACAGAGAGCCTCTTCCAGTGCTGGCCCCTGCCCCACGGTTTCTCCCAGCGTCCACGGCAGAGAGTAGAGCTATGGTGCGCAGACACAACTGAGCGCTGAAGCACCTGGAAGGCTTGTTAGCACGAGTTTCTAGACCCCTCCTAGGGCTTCTGCTTCAGAGCTGAACAGTGGGGCCCAGCACAGGCGCATTGCTGCTGCCCACTGCGGCCACACTCCGAGAGCTTCAGGGGTGTGGTGTTGTGTTCCGAGGCAGAGGGGGCCCGAGGAGGAGGCTGGAGGGCTGTGCCCACCCTCTGGTCTTAGTCCCAGTGACAACCAAGAAACTAACCCTTGGTTACTACCTTTGTTACTTCTTAAAACCATTATTTGTACCCATTTTTGGTTAAGAACACGAGCATGTATCTGCGAGTGGCAAGTGTGATGCTCTGAGAGGACACTGGGCCCCGAGATGCACAGCTGAGCAGCAGCGAGCCAGTTGGGCTGCGCTCTTTAGCGCCAAGCTCCACGGGGAGCTCATTCTAGAGGCCTGGTGTTCTCCACACCTTCCCTGGACAGCTTCTTTCTTCTCCATCTCTTGACCCAGGTTTTTCCAAGATTTTTCTCGAGTTAGGTACAAAGTTGCCAGTCCAGCACTGTAGAAGTTTCTAAGAAAGAGGATTTGAACTTGGTCTTGGGAAAAGGGGATGAAGTAAAGGTCCTAAGATGTGAGAGAAAAACAGAAGTGTCCTTAAGTTGAGCAGGAGGAGCAGTGATGTCACAAAGCAGGCCCTGTGGGGCGCATGTCTCAAACTGGGGCTGGGGTGGCGGGCGGGGGTGTCTCTGGTGTCTCATTAGATGGGTGTGGCATTGTTGCATCATTTGGGGACCTGATGCATCCAGTCATCGAAACTGGGGTAGCCACCTGTTCTGAGCTGCGAAATCACTTGAAAGTTGCCATTAAGCACCTTTACCTCTGCGGCCAGCTCCCTGTAGGCTGCAGTGGATTTCATGGGTCACCCTTCCCTGACCCTTGCTGCATCTGTGCAGCCCTGGCCATCTCATCCCTGTCTGCCTCACCTTGACCTGGGCGTGGGCAGTGGTGAGATGTGTGACTTGCTGGTGTTCAGAACTCATGTTTGCTTTATTCCTGCTTCTGTTTTCAGGATCTTGTCTCACTTCGTTCTTTTCAGGGCCATTTGTACTTCCTTTGTTGAAGAACTTGTGTAGAATCTCTTTTTTACTTTTTTAAGTCCTCAAGCAGTTTTGTAGCTGTGTTATCCTGAGACCAGAGGCTGGAAGGGGTCAGTGGAAGGCAAGTTGGCCCTTTTCATACGGGGGAGGGCGCCCGAGGTCCTCAGAGGCCTGTGACTCACTCACAAACAGTTTGACCCCTCGCTGTCCCTAGAGCTTAGAGAAGGACTGCAGATGTGTTGTACAGGACGGTCGCTCGGTCAGGTTGGAGAAATGGGGTGCCGAGTTCTTTCTTGGCTCAGTGCCTGGGAAGCCAAGACCCGTGGACCACTGCCCAAGACGGCTGAGTGCTTAGAAACAGGGTTTCTAGGGCCCAGAGAGCTACGGTGACTCCTGGTACGGAAGGGGCTGTTCTGCCCATTTAGAGATTGGTTTCCTAGAACAGTAAGCTGCCTTCTGACCTCAGCATGCTCCTCTCCTCCCCCAACCAGAAAAGCAGGTTTTGTTTATTGGAAAGATGCTCACCTAGAGAGAGCGTGGGGGCCGTGTTGGGTGACCTGGGCAGTCCCCCACCGAGTGTCTGCGTGCTGTGGTGATGGGGCCATAGTTGGAGGTTCCGGGAAGAAGTGCTCACGTCTGTCCGACTAAAGCTGCTCGCCTGCTCTTGGTGATGACTTTCAGTTTTAGTATCTTGCTACCTGAATACATTTCTCGTCTTGTGCATTTTCGCAAATGATGTCTTTTAGCATTTTGAATACAAGTAAGAAGTTTATTTTGTAAAATCATTAACTAATATTGAGAACGTTCCAGTCTTTAAAGAGAAGAATGAAATGAGGGCCTGAGCCTCCGGTTTGCATGTGCAGAGGGCGTTCCCTTCCAGGCCTGCCGGGGTGGTTGGGCGTGGTCAGGCGGTCCACACGCAGGCCTGCAGTGGCAGTCTGACAGGTGCAGGGCACGGGCTCACGTGCGGCAGTCTCGACTGCCGTGGGGCCTGGCCCAGAGCCGGCGATTTGGGCTATATGTTAGTCCCACTGTGGTGCAACTGTTCGCATGGAGAGGGGTTTTCTTTAAGCACACTTCAGAAAGGGACAGTGTGGCGCAAAACTTCGTTACGATGACCTGTATCGCTTTACTTCAGAATCTGGACATAGTTCAGAAAACACTTAAAGGGAAATTAACATTTCAGTTGAAGTTACAAATGTAATTTCCATCCTGTCATATTTTGGTGACCTTTTGTGACAGCTTGTCTCAATTGGAGGAAAGCATTTTTACTTGCTGATTAAAGATGTCATTTGAAACCATTTTATTACTGGGGATAGTGAAATTAATCTTGACACTTAGAACCACTGGAAAGATAATCGCTGATTCACCATAGAAAAAGTGTGTGTGAGCCAATCCTGCCGTCAAGATGAGAGTGAAAGTCTGTGCTTGTTAAAAAGAAATTAAATTTTCCTTCCAGTGGGGTCTTGATTCATTTGGGGGGGGGTTACCATAGAAACCATTTCAAGGAAATGAAATGGGGGGCTTAAGAGATTTTGGGGGAGTCTGGAGCTGACCTTGGAGTCCGAGGGAGGAGACACTCTGGTGACATTTACACTGGGCTTCGCAGTGGGGGGGGGAGGCTGCCTCTCGGGGTCCGCGCCTCCTGTCAGGCCACGTGCTGCAGCCCAGTACTTAATAAAGAAGCTGCGTCCAGTCCACCGGCCTTCTTTAGAATTTAGGATAATGTGCCCCTGAGGTTTCCTAAGGGCGGAGTCCCTGTGTTTCAGATCCCCAGAGTGGTCAGACGGGGGTGGACGGGGGCTGCTGGTGCCCCACACAGGTTGGCATCCGTGGGCTGTTTCTCAGGTGACTGAGCTCTCCTTTGATGTGGCTCTTTGTCAGAGGATGTGTTTCAGTCTTTCTTCACATGCTGAAGATTTTTTTTTATTTTTCACAAAACTAAAAATTTGAAATAATACTAAATGCTTTCCGTTTTGTATAAAATTCACTCTAGTTGTTTGACTTCAGAGTGATTGCATTAATAGTTTTGTTTTAAATGCAGGAGAATCAGAATTTGTTTTGTTGCATAAACTTTCTGAGTTGCTGTGCCCCTGTGCGTCAGCAGTTTGTGTGCCGAGGTCACTGGGACAGCTGTGTTTGGCCTGGGGACCGGGTAGCCGGGCTCTGAGCACAGCTGAGCAGCACTGTCAGCTGTCAGGGTGCGCGAGTGTGGCGGCCCCCATCCTGCAGTCGAATGCGTGCTCAGTTTAGCTGCCCCCTGCACACAGACATCAGCAGTCTCAAGCGAAGGCACCTCCCGGTTCATTCCCACAGGAGACGCTGGTGTTCCACGGGCAGAGCATGTCCTCACCGAGTAGATCTCACCAGTGGCCTTGGGGGTCCTGCTCCCTCCTGTGGTGCAGTCGTCTGTTGTGGTGGTTCCGCTGTCCCGGGCATCTTCCCTGCATGCTCCTTGATAGCCTCCTTCTGCTCTCCGTGTGCTTCTGACGTGTGCACCTCTTTTCCAACAGAGCTCTCAGCGGAGGCCAAAGCTGCACTGCTTGAGTTTGAAGAAAGAGAGCGCCAGCACAAGCAGGGCCGCTACGGCTCTCGGCGGGGTGGACGGAGAGGTGGCACCCTGATGTGCCGTGGCGTGGGGGACCAGCGGAGAGAGAGCAGCGAGCGGGGCCGCGTGAAGGACCACCGCCCTGCGCTGCTTCCCACACAGCCTCCTGTTGTGGTAAGGTCACAGTTGTGCTGAGAGCCTAAAGCCAGAGCAGATGGGAGTGGGCTCTGCTGGGTGTGGTGCTGTGTGTCTGGAAGTGAGGTCTGTTGGCAGAGTAATGGCCAAAGTCCCTGTCCTGTCCTCCGGGGTCTGTAAGGCAGGGACAACTGTGCCACACGCCAGTGCGTGGGAAGAGAGCTGCAGTGCACCCTTCTGTAGGGGCAGTTGCAGAGGAGGCTCGTGGCCCGGGTCTGGTCCTCAACGCGGTGCTGGGCTCACCGTGGGCAGCTTTGCTGAGGTGGGTGGAGTCTTTTTCCTTCGGAACCCGCGCGAGGTCCTCCGGGTTGCCATGCCTCCTCCTCGCCCTGAGACCCATCACGTGATGGGATGGTGGGTTCCCTGCGCAGGCCAACAGCTGCTCTGCCAGCATCTGGAGCCCACGGTCGGTGCGAACTCACTCAGAGTTGCTGCTGTCTTGTACAGCTTGTCACTGTGAACTCCATTCTAACTTGTAACTTTCACACTTCAGTCCGTGTAAATCTGTACCATGTCAGTCATCTTTACTTTGCTTCTGAATCTTGATTCCTATGATTTTGTCTTTTTTGGTTGTTTTTAGACGCACTCTCCAAGACTAATTCCTCCTGCACAGCCTCAGCCTCCGCCACCTCCACCCCCGCCCCAGCAGCAGCCCATCCGGAGCCTCTTCCAGCAGCAGCCCCTGCAGCCGCTGCTGCCCCTGCAGCCCCCACACCACCCCTCACCGCCGCAGGGGATGCACGTACCACCTCAGATGGAGGCCCCCAGGGTGATGATGACCCCTCCGCCTGTGACGCCTCAGCAGCCTAAGAACATCCACATAAACCCCCACTTCAAAGGGGCAGTGGTGACACCTGTCCAAGGTACATGTCTCCTTAGCTGCTGTAAAGTCACAGGCTGCCGTGGCCAACGGACGGTGTGGTGCCCGGATGCCTTCCCCGGCACTCTGACACCTGCTGCTTCCTGGGCCCAGCTGTTCGCTGAAAAGTGTCTGCATTTACGATTGGGTGGGAAGCCCTGAGTCCAGATGGCAACAGAGGTGTGGGGCAGTGCGGTGCATGTCCAGCATGCTCTGGCAGGGTTGTTTATGGAGTGTGTCCTCCCAGGTCCCACTTAGGGCTTCCCAGGAGTCATCATGTTGGCTGAGGGTAGGAAGGTACAGATCCTCTTTCATTCGTGAGTTCTAAGTGACACTTCTCCCTTCACTTCGAGGTCAGAGAGGAGGGAGGCTGGGAGCTGGTGGGTGGAGACAGGCAGCTCGTGGGGAACACCTGGGGTGGGAACAGCAGTGGGGGCCACGAAGGCCTGTGCCCCACCTCCAGAGCTGGGGCCAGCGGGGCCAGCCAGGGAGGAAAACAGCCTCGTCCTTTGGGGCTGTGGGCTGGCGAAGGCATGGTGACAGTCTCTGTGAGAGCTGGCGCACAGGCACATCTTGTCGTGATGGCACAGGCTCCCCTTTTGAGGGTGGGAGTTCCATCAGATTGTGATGCACCAGCTCCGGTGCGGGTGCCGTGTGTTCTTCAGATGCTCGCGCTGCTGCAGCTGCTGCGATGACCTGGAGCAGATCCAGTCCATTGAGTACATGAGACAACAGAAAATAAAAGCGTTCAGTATCAGACGTTCAGAGTTTCAAGGCTCAGCTGGCCTGGTCTGTTCAAAGCATGGGTTTTAGGTTCTCTGAGAGGTGGGCACATCTTCTCGCCTGCAGACCCGGCCCTGTGGGGGCAGGTTGCAGACGCCCTGGGGGGCTGATGGAGGCCTTCTCCCAGCGGGGCCCAGGTCGTGCCTGCCCCTTCTCTCCTGCTCTCAGATGCTCTCATCAACTCCTACTCTTTTTCTCTTACTGCTTTTTACAGTTTATTAACAAAACAAAAAGAACAACAACAACAAATAACACACCAGTGGTCAGAAGGCTCCTGTGTAAGAAATCTCTTCATTATAATCAGGTTTTTTCAAGAGATTTCCCCTAGATTTTTTGCTATTGTTTCCCCCAGTTCAAGAACCTTAAGTTTTTAACCCTTTATGATCCCCAGTGCGCAAGCTATTTTGATTGACTTTTAAGATGGATCATTTCTGTACTCTCGTTTACCACACTTTCCTTTAGAACGTGCTATTTTAAGACAGTGTGTAGTTATTACTACATTTCTAACTTGTAAGTTATGTTCTGACCCTCATGGGCTGCTCCTCTGTGCAAGTCTGAGTGCACTCTGTCCTTAGAAGGGCACCAGTCTGTCGCACCCACGGGACCTATTCTGCCTTCCTCACCTCTGTCTCCAAATACAACCCCGCTGGGGGTTGCTGGGTTCAGACCTTCAGCATGTGAACTGGGGAGGGGCACAGGGCCGCTCACCCCCCATCAGGAGTGCTCCCTGGTGTTCCGACGCAGCGGACAGTGCAAGACCAGCACCTGCCTCCTCCCCCTCATAAGGTGGTGCTGTCCTCCTGGTGGAGCCGGGGGTTCTGCTTGTTCCAGAAGAGGCAGAACAGGAGGCGGTTCTGTGTGCCAGTGCCCTGGGCTCTGTGTTCCTTCCACTGCCTGCTTTACGCTCTCCTTCCTGCCCTGCTCTTCCTTCATGGCTCTAGAGGGTGTAGATTTCAATGTGTGGTTGATTGATTGGAGCAGGAAGGTGGGACTGGGATTACATAACCTGGGTAACCTGCTAGGGTTGTAAAAAACACAGTAGGCTGTTCTTTGGTCGCAAAATATTTTAACTCTAAATGGGAGTTCACTGTGAAATGTAAGCTTCTGCCTGAGCTGTTGTGTGAAGATAGAAGCCCTGCTCACTGCTTTCCCTCGATGGAAACTTAATGTATTTTATGTTGTGCACATTGTATTTTACGCTAAACTCGCTGCGTGGACTTGCCGGGGCCGCTGGTCAGAGTGAGTGCAGAGTGTTTGTAACTCCAGGTGTCTCTCCACAGTGCCCTTGCTGCCCGTGCCGAGCCAGCCGAGACCTGCTGTGGGACCCCAGCGATTCCCGGTGAGTTGCTACTGCCCCAGGCGCTGAGCACACATATACTAGGGGCACCAGTGCCGCACACACAGGGCGGTGGGGGGGCTGTCCAGCTGAACCAAAGTGTAAGGGGGTATAAATACTGACTTTAATTTTGGCAGTGGAAAATGTTTGTTAAAAGCTTCGGGTCAGTGGATTTTTCTGAATGGAATTAGTTTTGTTTAACTGTAAAATTGTTGACTCAGAGTCATCAGTAGCATGCCTTGCATCTTACACAGTGTGAATTTGGATTTTACTATTGCCTGATGTTGAGTGAGGAGACTTGCTTCGGCGTGTGCTGGTGGGTGTGTGGGCTGGCATGGGCATACTGTGGGCGTGCCGTTCTGGGGAATGCTGATGAGGTCTTGTTTTTAGAGACCTCAGGAGTCTTAATGGCAGTTGATTTTGTATTTTAAAAGGAAAGTTTTGTCTTTTAAATATTCATTCTGTTAACATATCTTAACTAGAAGGAAAATGTCCATAAATAGTTGTATCTTTTTAAGTAAATTCGGTTTGAGTTTTGGGTTTGATTTGTAGTTGGTTCATGGTTTTAGTGAATCATTGAGGACATGTTCTTATTAAAAACAATGCTGGAAAACATGGGCCGAGCATAAAACTTTAATGAGATTTGTATGTAAAACAGATGTGGTGTGTTTCCGCCAGCCAGCCCGAGCTTCCTGAGCTACCTAGATTTGGCTGCAGCTTTGATGCTGCTGCAGTCGATGCATTTCTAGATGGAATTCAGCGAAAGGTTTTGATGATGGATCTAGACGTATAGTGAGATGATTATTCAAAAATGAAATCAGTATTAGGTTTCAGGTTTGGAGTTTTTAGAAACGTCCTCAATTTGCAATAATTTTAAAAAAGATTTTATTTATTTACTTTAAACAGGATAAGGGAGGGAGAAAGAGAGGGAGAGAAATATCAATGTGTGGTTGCCTCTCTGCATTCCCCCTACTTGGGACCTGACCTGGCCTGCAACTCAGGCATGTGCCCTGACTGGGGATTGAACCAGCAACCTTTTGTTTTGCAGGCTGGCACTTAATCCACTGAGCCACACCACCCAGGGCCATAATAATTTTTTATGAATTACAACATGGTTTCTGAAACTGATTTCATTCCTTTACATTAACTAATTTTTTTCTTTAAATTGCTCAAGTTTTAAAAACTATGTTTTAAAAGTCAGGTGATATTTATTTCGTATAGTTTCCTATTCATACTGTTGGTCTCAGTAGTGCTTATGAATCGCTGCCCCCCAGGCCAAGCCCGCGAGTGCTCAGGCGTCAGACCACCGCCCTGGTGCAGCGGCGGGCGCGTCAGCTGGTGCCTGGAGAGCCCTGGCCGTTGCAGTGCGCGCTGTTCCTGAAGGCTGTGAGCGTCTGCGTGGGGCCATTACTGGACTTCCAAAAACGGGCATTGTAGGAAAAAATTGACATGACAAAGCAATTGTAGTTGAAGGAAAAACAATGTACATAATTGAGATTTTTGCAAAAATATGATTGCTAACATAAGGTTAGAATGCCATTTGCAGTGTTCATCTGCCTGTGTCTCCCTGTCAGGCAGATGCGATGGTGACACTGGACGCCTCAGTGGACTCACTGCAGTGACAGTGCTTGGTGAGAGACCGAGTTTTGGCTGCTGCGGGGCCAGGGCTGCTTTGGGAAGTCGCTGCAGAGTGGCGTCAGGTGGCGTTATTTTCGAGGCTGGGAGTGAGCACGGATGACAGGGAGCAGTCTCACTGCACGTTCCTCGTAGAGTGCGGTGACCCGAGGGGTGCTCCTTCAGCTCCAGGGCTCACTGCTCTTGAACACAAGGCTGTTCTTCAGCCCAAGGTGCTGGATCTTGGCTGGTTACAGGGGTCTTGGGGTCTTGAAGCATGGTGCTCCGTCTGTTTCTGCAGCCAGTCTCCTTTAGAGAGCGTGACCGATGTGGGGTCGATACTACAAACGCATGGTGGAAGTGTTGCATTTTTAAATTGTCCATCAATGCTGTTGGGACAGGAGGTTCATGCTAGGTCACCTTCTGTTGTCTTACTCATACAAAGTCTCTCTTGAGTAGTACTTTTTTGTTTCTTCTGAACAACTAGGTTGAACGCACTGCCCTTGTGGTGCACGAGGCGTTGTATTAGTGAGTCTGTGTGCCGAGTGCTCTGCACAACGCTCGTCCCCGGACCTTAGAGAGGGCCCACAGAATGGCAGAGAGGCCATTTCCCCTGAGCAGTGCTGTAAGAGTAGGGGGACCAGGGCTTATGGCTTTCCAGAGCCCCTTGAGGATGGTCTTCTGATGGCCAGGGCCTGTGGGCTCGGTCCTGGTCCTTTGGTGCATGTGCCCCAAACTGACTCTTGCTCTGTAAAACCTGTGCACACACTGACATGCACACTGATAAAGCAGGTCAGGAAGCCGACTGTAGATTTGGCTTTGGGCACGTCTGAGTTTTACAGAATTCTGGGCAGTAAAAGCGAGGTCCTTGGGGGTCCCATTTGTCTCGGCATGAGCCCTGCAGTGAGTCCCCCTCACTCCTAGGACAGGGGTGCTCTTGTTGGCAGCCTTACCTCGTTCCGTTAGCACTGGGTTCCTGTCTGCAGAGAAACTTCCAGGGAGTCCCAGTCATTCTGTGTGCAGGGGGACACCTGGGCCTTGTGCCCAGCGGGGTAGATGAGCAGCTGACCAAGTGCACGCAGGAGTAGAGCAGTGAGCACTGCTGCTCTTTACTGGGAACCCCACACAGTGGGCAGTGTAGAGAGGGTGTGCAGTCCTCGTTCACTTGCTGTTTTCAAGGACACACGCGTGGATTTGTGCATTCAACGCTGCAGGGATTCGGCTCTCTCCCGACTGAAGAGTAGAAGCCGCGGGCAGGGAGTGCAGGGCCTCTAGATTCCCACACTGGACAGGCATTGGGGCACAGCTGTCAGTGGTGCTACCATGTCCCTTTTCTGCAGCAGCGGTCAGCTTCGCTTTCGTAAAAGTCAGTTTTGTTTGACAGTCTTATGAAAACCTGAGAAATCCTCCTTGTAGAACTAGTATGCTTAGAAATTGGGCTAGGTGCTGATGCCTGCCCTTTCTAAATTGAAAGTCACAGAGGTGAACCAGCCTGAGTTCTGTTTCCAGTTCCCAGCGCTGCTTGTTTTACAGGTGAGTCTGGTGGGTCTGTGTTCCTCAGAGGCTCCTTCTGATATTTTGTTTTTAACGTAAAGCCCTTCCCTTACGTAGACTTTCCAGTTACATGTTTGTCCTCCAAGAGGCGTTTGTTGTTTTTAAAGTTTACCTGTTCAAAAAGTAACACTGAGATCTGCATTCACAACCTCTGACAGTGTGGCCTGGAGAGGTCGCTGACCTGGGGCCCTCCGTGCCCTGCGCTGCTGGGCTGAGTGCAGCAGGCCCTCCCATGGGAAAGCGTATTGACCCGGGTGTTTCCAAACCCGTCCAGCCATTGATCTTGCTTTGCTTTGTTGGGAAATGCTGGTATTTCAGCAGTGGCCAGTTAAGTGCTAAGTAGTTTGGCTGCTGAGTAATTTTGTAGTGATCTTTGCTTAAATTAAAACTAAAAATCACATTAAAAAAAGACTTTTCTGTTTAAATTCGTCTCCTTACCCACTGCATCACTACTGAGGTAGACCCGGTGAGTGAGGTTTCCGTTCGTGTTTCCTGCGTTGGCCCAGCACTCACAGGTAGGTCTGAGTGCAGTCTGTGTGTGTGTGTGTGTGCTCGCGCGCACTAGCGTGCATGTGTCGGATGGAGTGCCTGGGACCAGATGGCGGTGATTGACAGCTCCGGGATGTGTTCTAGGTGGCATTCCATGCAAATTGCATTTGATTAGACTGCTGCATCCAATTCTGTTCTTTCCGACGGTGGTCTGTGCAGTTGTGAGCCCGGCTCCCTCCCATCTCGGACATAGTCTCTCTTTTGAACCCATCCTGTTGTTACAACTTGCCTGCAGTGCCTCCTGTTTATTAGCACCGACAGTGGGGACAGTGGGGAAGGGATGACGGGCGTTTTATCAGATCCAGGGGTGGGAGCAGGGAACGCGGGCAAGGCTCTTCCAGCTGTCAAGACGTCAGACTTGCATGGAGAGGATACAGTTTAAAATGCAGGTGACATGATATCCACCATCCTCCATTTGCTGGTGGGTTTCTGATTAATCGTGATTACTGCATATTATCATACCATCAACTTTAATCGTATCAGTGGATTCCCATCTGCAGCAGGAAGAGGAGCAGCTACATACTGCTGCACCGATTAAATGTGGAGCTCATTCACTGCAGTGTCCCAATGGCCGGCCTCGTGTCTCGTTTCACAGGCTTTGAGGGCAGGTTGGGTCACTTAGAGGCTGGGGGGTGGCCTGTGGGAGTCGCCAAACCGGGTCCTGGTCAGTCCCTGAGTGGTTCAGCCCCATGGTAAATTTGCACTGTGACATGTTTGGTGGTCTGTTTTGTATACTCTGGCTAAGTATTACATTGAAATGAGAGCCTCCCAGAAACCCTGCCTGCGCAGGTCCATAGTGCCGGTCCATAGTGCCTGGTGCCATGTAGAGCAGACTGAAACTGACCGCAGTTTGCCCCCTGGAATTCAGTAGCTCACTCAGTAAAAGGCTTGCACCATGAAGTTCCAAAGCCTCAGAACTGTCAGTTCTAGTGAGGTGTCCTGCGAAGCACACTGGTTGCTTTTTACTATTTATTTTCCCAGAGTTCTTGAAGACCCATAGTTCTGTTTAGATACATTTTTAAGGTAAACTTTGAAAAAAGGCCTGTGTTATTCTGTTATAAAGTATCTGAACGTGTGTCTTCCAAAAGATGGGACTTCTTTGATCTAAGAAACTGAGTCCTGGCGTAGGAGTCTGTGGGTTTAGCAGGTGTGTGCAGTTGTGTCATTGGCGCAGTTAAGATGGGGAGCAGCGCTGTCCCCCACAAGCCTCACTGCAGCCTCTTTGCTGTCAGCCCCTTCCCCTAGCCTGCAGCCTCTGCCCTGAGCTCTGGGCCCAGAGCTTCGTC